CAGAACAGTGTTTTTTGCTTCATTTCACAATTAAGATTTTTTCCTGTAGTAATATTATCTGAGTCAATGTGACACTGTACCCGTTCTCCCATGTTCCTGTCACCATGGGAGTGTTAGAATGTCATAGAAATTGCTTTGCAGATCCCAATGTAAGAGTCGGGATAGAGGTTAGTGGAGTTGCCCTGTGGCCTTGGAGTCATTTACTTTGCAGACCTGCCTTTGTTACTTCACATTTAATTGTCCTCAGCCAGTGCCTCTGTTTCCTCTACCTTTCTTCTCCATTTTCACATCAGATTTTTTTCTCTGTCTATGTCTGTCACAACTGTAAGATAAACACTTGTGAAGTCACTGCAGACCCAACAAAAAATTGTCTTGATATTGGTGGTCACATAGTGTGGAGGCTTGTTCATTTGAATGATTATTGTTTGACTTGTTTGCTGAGTAAATTATTGATTTCATTGTCATAGTCATAGCCTTTTATTGGTAACTCCTGATGATATGGTGAGCAAGGGGATTCACAGGACAATGGGATATGGATTTGTTTGGATATGATTTCATGTTGAGTTTTTAATTCTCTATGTGTTCTCCATTCAACACCCCCCCACCCCAACCACCCGCAATTCTTTTTCTTCTGTCTGTTTCTCCTCCCTCTCTTTCTCTTTTTGTCTGTCTGTCTGTTTCTTTTGTCTCCTTACCAGCTGTCGGCATGCGTCTTAGCTGTCATGCGGTGCACTTCAGCACGTTAAATACTGGACATTTGTTTGTCTTCTTTGTGTTGACGCTTGTCGAGTCTTGTGAATAAAGATGCTTTTGTAGCACCTCAACTTCCTCTCTGACTCTTTTTTGTGTTTTTCATGGGGAATTTGACTGACTTCAGCTTTTTTTTTTCCTTTCTTTTTTTCTTTCTTTCTATTTAGGGCCAAAGCAGCAACACATGTCTTTACTCTATTTCTGTGGCACCATTGAGTCATATATGGTATGGTTCGTGCAAGTGCACATGTATATTCTTGTTTTTTCTAGACTTAGACCTCTTGATTTTGGTAGAAATCAGAGACAGTAAAAGAAAATGGAATGCACATAAAAGGCTGCAATGTTGCATTCTCCCTGGGGACCAAAATGACAAATTGGAGTGAACTGTTCAGCAAAGGCAGCTTTTGTGAAGACTTACCAGCCTTTCTTTGGAGAAGAGTTGTGGCGTCTTAACAGACAGTTTATCATTCCTAGATTTGTTTTTGACTGTATCCTTTTTTTGGGGGGGTAAGTGTTTTTATGGTGCTTGCAACTGCATAAGGTCATATGAGCGTACGGGACATATTAAACAATTTCAGTTGGTAGGAAATTTTGAATTTTGCTCGGGTGGCGGCCGAAGCCTACTCTTATCGATTTTAGCCCACCAAGGGATCTTTAATGTGCGCAACTTGCACACGGCCCTCCGAAATGTTTCACCCTTGTCCGAAAAGGCTAGGTGTAGATCTTTCCTACCAGAGGATCAGGGGTGTGGCTGAAAGACAGCAGTAAGAAGGAGCCAAGGAGAAGCAGTAGAAAGGTTGCAGAAAGAGTCAGGAGCGCAGAGGAGGGGGCAGACGAGGTGAGGGGGTGGGGGCAGAAAGAGGAGACGAAAGCAGACGACAGAACATTGCTGGAGAGCAGGAAAGGAGATGAACAATTTTAGAGAAGAAAATTTTTCGGTCGCTACGCGGATTCGAACCCGGGACCTTTGATATGAAAGGTCAACACCTTAACCTCTAGGCCACGAGAGCCCCCACAGTATCCCTAGAACTAGAAGCAACATACAGTGGCTACCATATATAACAGGCCCGGTAATAACAGTGATTCGGTAATAACAGGGAATTTTTAAATGTCCATTTTTTCCTACTCTTTGTCTCTATTAAAAATGATCGGGCCTCATCGGAGCCCAATCGGTTATAGCAGGGACAAAGGCTCTTTAGCAATGTGTAAAAAGTATGGAGTCAGTAAAAAGTGAGAAAGAGTGATGGAGCAAGTTCACGCCACTGCAACTGCAAGCACACGCAGCAGGTGAAGCGAGAGAGGGCTGCTGTGTGCTGCATAATGTGTCATGGGCAGTCTAATGGGCAGGCCTGCCACATGGCCACGACAGAGGGCTCTGGTGTGCAAGGGAAACTACCCGTGTATAAATACAGATGGATTAGTCCACAAATTTTTACTTTCCTTGCATTTCTGATTTAACAGGGATCTAATATTATAACAGGACTTTTTCTCTGGTCCCACCATCCCTGTTAAAAAACCCCACCAGGTTTCCACTGTACGGTACCTTTTTAGGATGCTGTATTCCCCCCGAGGCGGTGCTACTGACTGAAGTGTCTTAAGACCATTCCCAGAAGAATTGGGGGGGGGGGGGCATTAACATTTCGAGTTCTTATGTACTGTAGAATTGTAATTGTAAATGGGCTGATTCATCAATGTCATGCTCATGACTGCCTAAACTGCAACAGGGAACAGCTGCTTTTTCTCTCCTAATCCTTACTATCGTCATATTTTCCTCTACTTCTTTTGTATGTTTGTCACACTCTTTTGACCGGCTATTTCCAGGGTGTCATAATAATAATAGTCGGGGCAGACTTTGTGCTGTTGAAGCTAAAGAGGTGAGCAGAGTAAGTCTGATTCCCTGTAAAGACTTCTCTGTTGACATCCACCCCTTGGCGCTCATATGACCTTAAGCAGTTGCAAGCGCCGTAAAATCTCTACTAAAACTAAAAGGATGCTGTCCTCTTGGATCTGATATCTTTTTAATTTTTAGGGGTGCTTCGTAAGCTCAGTTAAATCATATTGGTTATTGTGAGGATGACCTTTATTCGAATCTCCAGTAGGGTGTGCTTGTACTTGGTTTGATTTGTTTGCAAGGCTCTCCACCTACTTGACTCAGTCCTGTCAGAAGTGAAAGTTGTATTGCCGAAAGGGATGTTGAAGGCATATATATATATATGTAAGTGCCTTATATGAGAACTCGCAATTACAAGTATCAAATGTAGCCTATTTTATGAAGAAAAAACAACAAACAAAAACCCTATATATCGGTACTGGTAACGATAATGTGCTTTTAAATATTATAACCTTATATTTCCTTTAAAAGCAGGTGGTTGGAGGGCGCCACAGGTAGGTCTTATACTTCTTTACTTTCGCTCTGTTGTTTCTGTCTTTCTGACTTTATCCCAGCACTAAATGACCACTATTGTGTATCGATCCTCTTCTCTTTTTCTCTTTACTCAAATAAACAAATATGTTTCTCTCTCTCTCTCTCTCTCTCTCTCTCTCTCTCTCTCTCTCTCTCTCTC